AAGCTAAGCTGGATAGCTAGAAAGCTAATTCTATTTCTCTCGCTGGTTACACTACTCTTATTTCTTCTGTTACTAGTGCCATACCAACTTACACGATACAAACTTCCTCTCTCCCGATTAGTACATGTGGTGAGCTAGATAAATGCAATAGAAAATTTTCTTGGGGTAGTACAAGGGATGGCAAGAAAATTCCCCTTGTTGCTTGGAGTAATGTGTGTTTACTTAAGGAAAGAAGAGGCATGGATCTTCGACAAGCCTAACTTCAAAATAAAGCTTTACTAATGAAGCTTGGCTGGTCGATGGTGACAAAGCGTGATGATTTCTGGGTAAAAGTAGTTCGGAATAAATATAATTGTGGTGATGACTTGCTCCCTTAAATTGATCTCAAAATTTGTGGTTTAGAATTAAAGAAACATGGAGTAAAGTCATAGATGGTTTAGATCTTAACTAAAGTAATGTAGCCATTCGCTAGAAATGGGAGAGAAATGGCTTATTTTCTGTCAAATCAGCCTATACCTCTCTTTAAAATGATGATAGAGTAGCTAATTGTAACATCTCTATTTTTAATTCCCTTATTTACTAAGATTAATAAGGATAATTAAGTAAGTTGATGTGGTTTATGGTCAAAGGAGAGTAATAAGTGTTTTTAATTGGAATTTTAGGTATAATTTAGATTTAAAGTAAAATAGGAGTCACTTAAGGACCACAAAGTGAAGAAAAACATGCTAAACAACCTCTGTACCACATGCCGCAGCACGTGCGCAATGCACCATGATGCACAGGCCATCAGGCAAGAGTTCCCTTCTTTATACTATATGCCACGATGCGTGGGGACAAGCGCTGCGGTGCACGATGTGAATTCTACAGAATTTAAAAGTGAACTAATGCGACAAAACAAAAAGGAAAGGAAAGGGAAATGGAAGAGCTCACATTTGCTCTGTTAGGCATGACTTAGGTGAGAATTTAAGAAGGTTTGAAGCTCCAAATTATCTAAGGTAAGATTTATAAACCCTATTTCTCCTTTCCTCTTCCATATTCTCAAGTATTTAAGTTAAGGTTTAAATAAGGATGGTGATTTCAGTCCATATAGAGTATGAGTTCAAACCCATTGACTCAAATGGAGTTAATGAGAGTTGTTTAGAGTATTTAAATTTAGTATAAATAATTTTGGTGGTTCTTGAAGGGAGAGCTCCATTAATATCCAAAATTTACACTTATATGGGTGCTTGGAAGAGTGTAATGCCATTAATAAGAGTTTAATTGATCATTAATGTTATTGAGGACTAAAGAGAGATAATAAATTTAATGGATAGACTCAAACTCATGTAGAGTGAATATTAGGCAATTTAGAAGTAAAGATTGAGGGTTTAATATTTGAGTTGGTAATATTGATAAAATTCAACTTGATTTATTGTAGTTTTAGCCCTTAGTAACCCATTTGGCTTGAAAATTTAAGCTTGGAGGCTCTTATATTGAGGGATAAACCTTTGACATATTAAAATTTTGAGGTAACTAGGGGAATCTTACTTTGAATAGTTATATATTAATTGATTGTTAATTGATTGTTAAATGTGAATTGTGAAGGTTACATGTATGGAATTGATTTTCAATGTGAAACCATGTATAAATTTCAATGAATGTATGAAAATTTGAATGTGTATAATGCTATTTTTAGCTTAAAATGCAAAATGAGAAGTCAAGAGGGTTTTCGAACTATGAACATGCTTATGCTTTTGAAAAATGAATGTGATATTGTCTAGAGGTAATTATGTATTAATGAAAAGTGGATTGAGGTAAGAGAAAACAATTTTAAGAAAATGATGAGAATACATACTTAGGTAGCGCACAATTGTGAGCCCAACGTGATTGTTATGATAATGAGTAAAAGAAAATAAAAATGTGAAAATGAGTTAGTATTGATTATGGCATGATCAATGGTAGGAGTTTCGCCTAAAATTGGGAGTAGAGAAAAATTCATATGGTATTTAGGTTACCCTCTAGATACGAGGGTATAGCCTTGTCCCATTGTTTATCGAGGGACTATCCCATAGTTTGTCAAAGAATTAGAACTTAGCTATTTTCACCAGTTCAATGAAGAAAATAGTCTAGGGTATGAGACACCCTAGAGATTCGAGAATGGGAAAAGCCGTGGTCTAAGAGTGAGTCCTATGATTTTTAATCAGGTCACACCTTATGATTGGTGAACTTAAGCAGTCCAATCACACAGATGGAGCCTTATTCAGTGTTATAACCCATAGTTTTAGTCTGAAAAAATAAAAAGGGTATAAGGTTGGTTGATCATTATCTAAGTAAATATATGGTGTGTCACACATGTTAAATTGTGACAAGTCACGTGAATAATAGATCATGGTCACATATATGAGAATATGGTAATAGTGTACCTAGTATATGTGAGATAAAGAAGTTATTAAATGATAAATAACAAGTTATGATATGTGTGAGTATGTTTTAAGTACTTGGTTTCATATACATGTGCTTAGCTTATAATTGATATATAACTGCATAGGGTAGGTTTTACCTTGATTACTAAGTGGCTAAACTCACCTCTTTCATTTAACACATTTTAAACTCTAACTCTGGTGCAAAGAGGGAGAAGGCTCAAGAGGCTAGGAATTAGCATATTCCTTTTTGTATGCCTCTAGCTTAATTTATTTTGTGCAATAGTATATGTTTGTCAATCTTAAATTGCATGTCATCTCACTTACACTATTTTGTTGTTGCAAATGTCTGATTTGTATTTTAGGCTCTGAATATTTGTGTATGTTAAAATATATATGTTGTAAGTCCAAAATACTAGTGCAAGAGTAAAAATAATGATTTGAACATCTTTTGATTGATTTGAATACAATGCAATGACAAATTACCTCCCCCTCTGTTTTTGATAAAAAAAAAGTTAAGAGGTAAATTTTTATTATACTATGGTTTAAGCGTGGGTGACATATTGCATTGGTAGTCCTAAGTCCAATAGATATGGTTCAAGTATTAGGACAGCTATTGGCACATGTTGAGAGTTTTGGACATCCATTTTGAGTGAAAGTTGTGAAAAGTGGTTAAAATATGTTTGGGTGTCCAACTTTCTGGTGTGACTTGTTTTAAAAGTAAAACTTGTGCCATTAGCTAGTTCATGTCAAGAGCTTTCCATAAACACCTAGACCACGTCATTCGGACGTCGGATGAAGAATCAGGGCACGTCAGAAGTTTCTCGATTCTACTATCAAATGATAACAAAATCTGCTGAATTTTCATGCACACATCACAGCGCAGCGTGCACCGGCCAAGGTGCACTGCTCTCTCACACATTAAGAGAGTTGTTTTTCACTTATTTTTTACTTCTTTCACTCCTCTGAAGTATTTCATGCTTCCAAAACTTGTTTATACCCTGATATAATGAATTTTGATTGATTGAAATTCATTGTTATTTAGAAAACTTGGGATCCTTTGAATTTTAGACTAAAGTTTGGTAATTATCTTTATGTATTAATCTTTTGATTACCATGAGTATTAATGTTAATTGTGTTTAGTGGAATAAGATTTTTCACTAATCCCATTAGGGCTCAGATATGGAAATTAAAAATACCAGAGAGATGTCGGACATTTCTGTGGCTTGCTTCACAGGATAGCCTACTCATGAACTCAGCATGAAAATGGCAAGGTCTTTGTGAAGATAATCTTTGTGCACTCTGTTGTTCCTAGCTTGAGGATATAATTCATGCTCTTAGAGATTGTGAATATACTTATTGTGGAAATCTATACTTCCAACAATTGTTTGGCAAAACTTTTTTGAATTGGAACTCCATGATTGGATAAAGTGCAATCTCTCTCTAGGGCAACAGAATATAAACGATAATTGGAAAGCGTTATTTGCTGTTATTAGCTGGTGGATATAGAAGTGCAAGAATCTTGCTATTTTTGAAAGAAGCAATCAATAATGAAACTATCATCTCAAGTGCGAGAGCCATTGTTGGAAGCTTGAAAGAAGCTCATCGGAAGCTTGACAGGCGATACATGACTCATACTATAAGTGCCCATTGGAGATCTCCAGAATCTAATTAGGTGAAATGTAATATTGATGGTGCCTATTCCCACTAGAGTTTTTCTGTAGCTTGTGGCGGCCTTCTACGAGACTCACAAGGTCGCTTCTTACCTTGCGTTTTGCTGCAAAGTAGAGGAAGGTGATGCTCTTACTGCTAAAATATGGGCTTGCATTCATAGGTTGAGGCTTGCATGGGATGCAGGATTTAGAAAAGTTGAGCTTGAAAATGATTCAATTGAGACCATTGCTTTAATACAAATGGGTGTGGCCAGGAGCATTCTGATTATGTATCAATTATGGAGATCACCTCTTTACTTCAAAGAGAATGGGATGTCAGTTTACCAGTAATTAGCAAGAACGCAAACACTAGTGCTGACCATCTCGCAAAGATGGGACTCAGCATGATGCCGAGGACCACATTTATGCTTCACGCACCATATGAGCTGCTTGATGTGTTGTCCAGGGATGCTATGAATGTAATTGAGGATACAGGCAAGTTGCCTCCGTTTCGTCCTTTTATTCCAAAAATAATAATAATAATAATAATAACTGTGTTTCATGACAATAGAATGGTATAAGCAGCTGTTATAAAGGGGGAAAAGAAATAATAAGTACAATACTTAATTTAATTGCTCAACATTGCAAATTTCTCGAAGAGCTGAAATAAAAAATAAAAAACAAATTCCAAAACGAATAGCTCCTGATCATGATAACATGATCCGTTAAAAAATTGCCTTCCCAAATTGAATTGAACGTGTTAAGTTGTTAACACCGTTAAAAAAGAGAATAAATAACTGTCGAAATAATTCATTTCGTTGACCAAAATTGGCAATTAGGAACACATTGAATAAGTGGTAAGGATAAGATGTAAATAGTGATCAAGAATTTAAAATTTCTCAATGTAATTAAAAAGTTCAAAAATCACAATTTTTGTGAAATTTTAAAATTATCAATGAAAATTCTAAAATTTTTATTAATTGTTATTGAAATTACAACTTAGTCTTACTGAATTTAACAATTGGTGAGTGATAATTCTGATAATGTTATTACCTATTAACAAGTTACGGGAGTTCTGATGTACCTCGCTCAATATGATGTGAAACTTGAAAAACCATCTATAGCCCCCAAAATCAAACATGCATCAAAATTATGTTGTTACACTTACAAAGCTTTTTGGCAAACATACAGTTCAATTTTGAAGAAAAGATAACTTCAACTTGTCAGGTTCTTGAAGTTTCAGGAAGTAGGCCGCTATTGCAAGTATGACCATGAGCACAGCAATCCATAAGCTCAGTCCTCCTGAAAAGAAATCAATATACGTATTAATAATGATCCTGGAAGTCTCAACAGCCGTAATTGCAAGACTTTCCGACAGTTTTTTTAGGTAGTTATGCTTGAAAAGAAACCATTAAAATATTCAGCTCATCAAATTGCGCAGCCAATGCAGGGATTGGATGCAGTATACTATTTGGTTTCATGAAAGATTAATCAAAAACACACACAACACCCATTTAAGTAACCATATAACAAAAAACCAAGGACTTGTTGATTCAGTCATCGAGCTACTTTACATGCACTTACCACTTTTCTGCTTCTCCTCTATTACAGTAACCCTTGCACTTGAATCAAAGGATACAGAAGCCAACGCCCTGTATTCAAAAGTCACAACTATCACAAACTCTAGACATGCAAACTTCTAGTGCCAGGTAAAAACATTACAAGTACACTGGCTTCAAACCTTGAATCATGGGAGAAAGCTAACGCAGTTACTATGCCAAGGTGAGCCTTTTTAATCATTGACAGGATCTTCATATTTGTTGAATTTACAATCACAATGTCACCTGAAGGTGTTCCACTGCATGTCAACCCAAACAATTTAGATAAGTTCTTAAGAAGTTGCGCCCTTGATTTCAGGAAGTGTTACTTTTATTTTTTCCTTTTTAATCTTTCTTTATTGACCACTAGAAATGATGTATCAGACTACTTACCATGCAACAAATTTTCCGTCAGTTGATACATTGAATGAAGAGATTGCATCACGAACAATACGCTTTGAGCCAATCCTTGCCCCAGTTTTTGCATCCCATGTCAGAATGCTTCCCCATTTGTCTGTATTTAGCAATAAAATACGTGTCAATTAAATAAAAATATAATTACCCCTAGAACACTTCTAAATCCAGTGAGCATATACCTGTCATGGCAGCAATATACAAGATATAGGTCCCATCATTAATTTGAGAAAATCTGCAAGAGGTAAAAACCTCACCCTGCATGGTGGTTAACAAAAAATGATTAGTCCAAAAATAACGAAAGAGATGACCAAGTTAAATGAGAGTGAAACAAAAAGGTTACACAAAAGATTGTCTAAATATTGTCACATGATCAATGAATCCAGTTCAGAATACCCCCTTGAACAGTGTAACAGTGGAAAAAAATTGAAACCTCCTAGTACATTTTGGCTAGACTTTATGATTAGAACTATCATTTCTATAAGGATTTTCCATCATAACTCTAACAGTTTGCCACAATTAGGATACATATACCTGTGACATGAGAAGAAAAAACTCCATGGCATGTTTGGATTAATGGGAATTTGTATTTAGATTTATATTTGGATCAAATCCCTAATTTGGATGTACAAAAATTTATGGATTTCCAAAGCCATCTCTCATTATATTTCCTTTCTAATTTCAAACTCCTTCTATACCCTAGTAATTTAAAATTCCAATCACTTCAAACTTATCGTTCTTCTCATATTTTTAATATTGATACTTCTATGATTCTGGTATCTTATTTCTTATCGATTGAAAAATATAGGAAAACCCATCACTTTCAATTTTTTATTTTCATTTTAGATCTTAATTTATCTCTCTTTTTCATTTGAAATTTTTTTAAACTGCCCAAACAAAGGATGTTAAATACATGAATTCTAGATTTAAGATTTTAAATTTAAAATTCAAATCCAAATCCAAATCCACCAATCCAAATGGTAGCCTAAAGGCTAAAGGAATATAATCTACTATTTCACACTAGCCCGCCTTGATATATGCCATCAACTTCCTTTCATCCTGTCCTTTATTGTTTTTCGTTTAACTAATTTGGCTCCCACATATTGCGCAGAGCCTAAATGAGCTAGAGCTACCCTATTCATGACTTGTGAATAGTATAGCATGTAAATTTTATATTTTATCTTGATATCAATGATTTGTATAACCACTCACTTCACCATTGGATATCAATCCCTCTTTGTTTCTCAAAGTTTCTTTATGATGTTAAAGCTCTTTTAGGTATCAGCTAACATATATCAGTTAACAAGCAGCATCAATCCAAAGTTGAGGAATGCAAAGATAAGGAATGGAGAAATGCATTCAATCATTAAGTAAATACTTCTAACGCATTTACAAATTGACCACCACAATTTATAGGTGTAGGTCAAAAGAAAAATTTACAGTAGTATCCCAAGGAGTAAGGTTATTTGAAAGAAACTGGTGTGTAATTCATAAAAGAAATATTAAAGATCATTAGTAGTTTAGTTAGTTTATTCATTAGTTAGTTGAGTTCTGTTAAAATAAAGAGCTAAGGGAGCCTATATAAGGGATCCTAAGGCCCTATTTGGTATGCAGGTATGAATTTTGATGGATTGGGATGGGATTGGTACCAAGACTGGGATTGGGATTAGAGTTGGAATTGAGGTTTTAAAGATATGCTTGGTATGGGGTAATATTTGGATGAAATACTTGCATTAATTTATTTTATAATCCATCAGAAATCATCATAATACTATAATGCCCTTATCATTGACAAAACAAAAATACACGATCTAGAAGAGGATGAACAAATCATGAAGTCTGTCGCCTAAAGCCACCATGAAGTCCATCAAGCCCAACCCGCCTCTTCATCCTTCAATCTCGTTAAAGCTCGTCTGTTACGTCACCAAGCTCAGAACCCAGCAATGGTGAACTCGAACCTCCGACTTACTGTGGAAATCGATGGTAGGAAGAAGACAAACCTAGATCTAGCAAATGATGACTCAAACCCATTAATGCCAAATGTACCCTAAGAGTGAGTCAGATGCTATGTTAATTGAAAATTAGAAATATCAATCTCTCTATTCTCTATTTCTCTCTTCCTCTTTTTCTCCTTCATTTCTAATCTTTTCTTATTTCTTTTCTCTTTCTTCTCTATTTTCCCATGCACCAATTGTACTAGAGTCATCGGTGCTCAGCTTGTATGTCAAAAACAAGACTCCAAAAATGACGACAAAACATGACAGACAACAATGATGATTGTATTCATGCCCTTGAAGATGCAATTTCCAAACTCACTATATTATCTGGCACTATTCAGGCCTTGTCAACCTAGTTGGCCTAGCTAGTCTATGACAAGGGCAATTCACCAAGAGCTCACAAGGGAAGATCAAGAACAAACACCAAGGATTACCAACCTCCAAAGCGTTTCACCAAGATGGAATTCCCACCTTTTCAAACAACTGATATCTTGGTGTGGATCTTGAAGTGTGAAAGGTACTTTCACCTCGGCCCCCGAAGACTGGAAAGTTACCATGGCAAGCCTCCATCTTGATGAGAAGGCTTTCCAATGGCATCAATCACTGGAAATGTGGAGGAAGGGGGCATGTTGACATGGCCTATGTATGTGCACTAAAGACCAAGTTTGGGCCCATGTATGAAGCTCCAATGGAAGATTTAATGCAGCTTTGGCAGTCAGGTTCTTTAGACAAGTTTGATGATGAATTTCACACAATGGACCTGCAAGATTTGGCTATCAAAAGACTATCTCGTGCAAATTTACATGGTAGGTCTCAAGAGGGAGTTCATTGTGCAGGGTCTGTCTCTCCAAACTAAAGAAGCTGCAAGGGGCACGATCAATTGCTAAAACTCACACAGTGAATTGCCAACAGGGGTCCAAATAGTTTAACGGAGGAATGTCCTCTCAGGTCAGGCTACTTGGTCCTCCTCCACGCATCTCTCATTCATCCAAAGGGAGGAAGGATGTAAAATTGACAACTGGAGGTGGTGAGTCCCATTTCATTAAGGGTAAAACCATCCATTCTCCAGAAACTCTGTTTCCTTAAAACATGGCTCCGTTTCCTCTGTTCCTTCAAGTGCAGGGATCTCTTCTATGCCAAATAACTTGAAAATCTCAAGGAAATTGAGCCCAAGAGATGTTGAGGAGTTCAAGGCCAAGAAGCTTTGTTTCTATTGCCACAAACCATTTTTCTAGGGTCACAACTATCCTCAAAAGCAAAAAATGCAATTTCAACTCATTCTCCATCTTGACCCTGAGGAAGTGATCAACAATAGTCCTGCGTAGATGAAAGGGTCTTTTGGATAAAGACTAGACTAGCTATGGATTTTTAGCTGTAGCAACAGTATTTAGGCTTCTTAATAAGACCCTCGAGGTCAGGGTTTTTTGAAGGGGGAGTATTAATGTGTAAGTCATAAAAGAAATATTAAAGATTAGTTAGTTAGTTAGTAGTTTAGTTAGTTTGGGGGTTAGTCAGTTGGGTTCTGTTAGAATAAAGGGATGAAGGAGCCTATATATGGGAACCAAAGAATAAGTCAGATACTATGATAATTGAAAATCAGAAATATCAATATCTCTATTCTCTGTTTCTCTCTCCCTCTTTTTCTCATTCGTTTCTAATCTTTTCCTATTTCTTTCTCTTCCTATTTCTCTTTCTCTTTTCCCATGCATCAAAAACCCAAAAGGAAATAAGGACTTTCACAACCTCTCCCCAAGCTAAGTATTTGTCAACCATACCTAGGCAAGGAGTATATGTCAAACAAACTGGGTTATCAGAATACTTTTGGTCAAAATATCAGTTGTTTGTTAATGTGTAAATGTACAAGTACAACTCACCTCCATCTAATGCAATAAAAAGACAACTATGAAAGATCACCTTCAAACTTACATTGCAAAGCAATCTACCAATGAATTAGTAGATACTAGATAACAATGATCCTCTATAAGAAAAATGATGAGAAAACTATACAACAAATTAACATCACTAATAATAATGATAATAATTAATAGTAATAGTAATAATAATAATAAAGCTTTATAACATACAATTTTGAAGAAGAATAAATAATCCAGCTCTCAAAAAGCAAAGACTGTCATTCTGTTAATTATTTAATTCATAGATTCCACATCCAATTAGTGTATTCATTACCAATACAATAGCGATCATCTTATATCCAGTGTCACTTATATTAGTTTTAACTTTATACTCAACTTAACATTCTCTTGGTAAGTGACAATCAATTGCTCACATTTTTACTAGATATGGAAGCTAAGACCGTCGATGAGGAAGCATCCCAAACTCTGCAAGGGCCACCACTTCCCAAGGACACAAGCAGTTTACCATCAGAGCTGCAAGACAACGAAACAAGATGATAAGGGAAACCCTCATAGAAAATAATAAATGTAAACAGAACTTCTCTTTTGTTACTTTCAAAAACCTTTTCTTCTTTCCTTCGTAAAGCATTCAATTAAAAAGTAAAATCTCTACAATATTGCTAAACAACAATATTGTAATCCATGTAACCAACCCCACCTAGTAGAACAAGACTTCTAGCTGTTGTATTGATAAATAAAAAACCTGAAATGTAAGTCTTTTACTGCGGAATAAGCCTTAGTCTCATTGAGAATAATTTCCATGCTAGGCCACTTGAAAACCCTTAGATTGCCATCCTGTACTGCACCAAAATTAGAAAATCATATAGCATGCCACTACATTATCAAAACAGACTATCTATATTTTGATGTTGGTATGTCAAATGAAGCTTCAAACAAAATTTTTGCCCATGTGGCATCTAAAGATAAGGAAGCACCCTGAAAACATAAACATTCAGCTCCAACTAAATATGCCAAATTTCAAATCACTACAAAAATTTCATGTTGCTACAAAGTTCTACCCTCCTTTGTTCCACTTCCACCAAATATTCCAAATAACAAAATACTTCTTATACAAATTATAATAAATTAAAATTTAAAATTGTTTAACAATTCAAAGAAACAAGAGAATATAATACTACATTTTTCCATACAAGATATTAATATTACAAAAATGTTAACAGAGCCTTTCAGGTTCCATCCCCAATGTAAAGCTTTGAATCTCATCAACATGCTTCTTTGATTCAGTGAAGGTTTTAGCGGAGGCATTCTAGGAATTTTTTAAAGCCACCAGTTTAAATGTAAATCATCATTAATCTCAGTTGTTTTTAGGTAGTGTTAAGGATAACATTAAGCATTAAATCTGTGAATTTACCAGGTTTAGTCTGGGAACTTTTCCCATGAAATATTTGGGTGCTCCCCTTCCACCTTCTAAATGGAAGGAAAATGCTGCAGTTTCATATCATACATGGAAAGAAAGAAATGGTAGGGTGTTTCAAAATGTCCGGTCCTCTCAAATACAAATTATGATGAAGATAAAAGCTGAAATAAGCGTGAAAGCACAATATTGTCTTCTAAGGAGATTGAGAGCAATTTAACTGGATTTTCTTGGAGCTTGCAATACTGTGGGGATCCATATCCTGTTTTTTGTATACGTTGTAAATGTTTTGCCATAATAGAGGTTATGGAGTAGATAACTAGGAACCTTCCTGGAAGGCGGCCTGTGATTCTTTTATGTTCTATTTGTGCGCATATATTTTGCCCATTATTATATGGATCAACATTTTAACCAAAAAAAAAAAGTTAACAGAGCCTTTTGACCAGGTGTTCAAGGCTCAAGAGTTATGATATGAACTTCTCCTAATTAAATTCAATTTTAGGCAAAGGGCACAGCAGACAAGTCCCATGTCTATACTCCATACCCAAGGGGTTTTCATACAAAGAGGCACGTAGGAATATAGAGAAAACCATCATAGTCTTCTTTTAATAGTCTGAGCTTGTAAGATGAAATCTTCTTGACATATATATATTGGTGCTATACTAGAGAAGAAAATGAAAAGCATACAGCAAAATGCTCTATTTTTTCCCCCTATGCATCCACTTTGGTTGGATTTTCAATGAATACACTTCTTTTGAATGTATGCTTCCAAATTGTGAATTATGAAGCATGTCATCATGAGATTCAATAATAAGTTAAAAATAATTCAAAATATAAAATGTGACTTATGTATATCTTCATAATATATATAAAATACTCAAGATTGTAAATCTAACATAAGAGTTAAAAATATGACATATGGATTGCCGTTATATCAAATAAGATAGCAGTCATTCAAACCTCTTCATCAACAATCTACAATAACCATTAAATTATTGTTTCCTCTCTCTCCCCCCCTTTTTTCTTTTCGTTTCTTTTCATTCTTCTTCTTCTTCTTCTTCTTCTTCTTCTTCTTCTTCTTCTTTTTTGGGTGAGGGAAGGGGAGACAATGTTGAAGGCTAGTATCAATTCCTTTCTAAATGAGGACACCACATTTGCATTGCCAGGCCTTAAGGGGCATATTGGATAAATTTTCTAGAATTAAATGCCATTACTGATTGGCCATGAAGAATATGGATCTACCCACCATGATAAATATGCACATTTATAGAATAAGTATAGCAGTAACAAAAAATTAGTTGAGATGCTTCTGCACGGTCTCTATTTCTTTCATGTTACACAAAATCATCTTGGTTATAAGCGGTGTCGTTTTCATAATGAAAATGTAAGCATGTAACTAATAACTTTACCTGCCCACCAACAGCTAGCATAGTGCCATCATTGTCAAATGCCAAAGCTAACTGCTGCCCAACATCCTCCAACTCACTGAGTACTTTATCAGAAACCTTCAGACCTAACTTATCATTTTCTTCACTCCTGTTTTGGTTCCATTCAAACCATCTGCATGAACAATTCACAATTTCATGTTATAATGTTTCAAGTCCGGAGATACTGAAGCTTCACGAATGTCGTACAAGTTAATATCTTGCCTAGTGGGTGATAAGGTTAAGCTTTCAGTTGTACCACAGCAACTCCTCAACAAATTATGATACAGGCAACTGCCTATATGAAAGGAAACAACTAAGCAAACAAGGAAAAATGAGAAGCAAAATACCTGCAACTCTTTGGCATTGCACAAATAAGGCCATCTCCACGGGGGTGAAGTGCCATTCTATAAGGCAACTCAGAGTCAGTTCCAAGCCTACCCACCTGTAATATTTGATGAAATTACCCAAGCAATAAGGGAAGAATTGGAACCACACGAACCGCATATCTTTTATGATATCTGACGCATAATAATTAAAGGGAAGAAAAGAGAGAACATAGAGGAAACAGAGAGAAAGAGACGGAAGAGAGAGATAGGAATAGGGAACTCAAGGCTATTATTTCCAAAAACTGATTACAATGATCCTTTTTGGTACCCTTTTATAGCCCATACCCCCAAATAACTATCCTAACTACCAATTAACCCCTTTAACTAATATTATTTATTTATTTATTACACAACAATATCTTTCTACGATTTTAGATTTTCAATAAAAAAATACTAAACCATTTGATGTTGAATAATTTTCTTAAACAGGTCAACTCAAAATGCAGTCGAACATACAAATTCATCCAATCTAAACTACTCGATTTTACACAACACGGGAGATAAAAACAAAAGAAAAGAAAAGCAGCCAAATGAGCTTTCATCAGCATACCGCTAAGACAAGCCTAAATTCCTATCGTTGTTATAGAAATACTCATGAATCAGCTTTGCATCTCACAACAAAAAACTCCCGGGGGGGGGGGCCCTCAGATCCGATTCCTCCAGTTTCGAATCATAAAACAATGGCAAAATCAAACCCATGAGAATTTGAATCAAAAATATACCGGCTGATCAGAGAGAGAATTAGATGCGACATCAAAATTTGCAAACAACACCGCATTGGGAATACCGCTGCTGCCTTCACCACCACCACCAGTGATCGCAAGGTAGTGCTCGCCGGAACTCTCGGGAGGCTGAGGAGTGGGGTTGTTGGCGTTGTCAGGGGCTTCACCAATTGTTTGATTCAATACTGATTTGATTACGTTTGGCGGGATCCAAGCTACTGAGTAGGAAGGAACGCCATATTTCTTGAAGTTCGGAGGATCTGCGACAGCACTTTTCACCATTCTATCTCTTGTCCAGGCTCAGCGCTTCTGAATGTTCTTTCGCTTACAAGTTGTACGATGGGGCCGCAGGTGCAACGCAGCGTTTAATTGATGCAAGAAGCGGTTCCAATTTCAATGAATATCCACCGTTGGTTTATTCACTTTATTGATTTCTTCAGAGTAGCCCACCGCGTTTTCTACCCAATAGCACGTTGCAGCTCGACAGCATTAATTCCAAATCAATTCTTTGGTCCACCCTTCATACGAGATCTACCTTTACTCCGTTCCTTCTTGCACCGTCATCCAATTTTTTCAGTTTTTATTTCAATCAATAATTAATAATAATTAACATCGTGAAATTTTTAGAAGGAGAAATTCCTGGAAGTCCCTGTTTGGAATTTTTTTAGCCCCAAAGGAATTGAACTCTGGCTAAGAATGGGGTTCTTCGTAAGACGAAATATGGTCATTAATTGACCAAACTATTTCTAGGTAGAATTGATAAATTAAAATTAAAAGTTTTTATTTAAAATATTTTTTTTCGTATAATATAAGTTATTTTCTGAACATCCGTTTAGGTTGAGGAGAGGGAAGGAAAAAGAGAGGAATTTTAATAAAGAAAAAAAAAGAGATAATATTTTATATGGTTCAAGAAGAAAGGAAAGAAAAATAAATATTTTCAAATAACTTTATCCTTATATTATCAAAATTATTTTTTCCTAATAAAATATAGTTATAAATGTTTTTAATATATAATTATCCATAGTTCACATATATTTTTATATATATTGCCAATAATATAGTCAATAATAATTTATTCAAAGTTTAAAAAAAAGTATGAGCAGTATATTTATTAATATATAATGGAAGAATAACAAAAATAAAATGAAAGGAGGGGAATAAAAAAAATCTAATCTTCCTTAGTTCATGTATTTAATTCTCAAACAATTCAACAATAATAGTACAAGCTGGGAGGAGGGATACAACTTGGACAGAGGGGTATATGATAGCAAAGAAGGAGAGATATTTTTGAATTATCACATTATAATATAAATAAATTAGTCCTAATACAACAAAATTATACTTCTTTCCTCCTCATCCTCCATTTTAGAGGGAAGGGTTTGAAGGGGAGGGAAGGGAAACTTCCATTTTTACAACCCAAATAAGGGGAGTGAACAAAATCCCTTTCCTCCACTCTCCTCCCTTCAAATCAAATACATGATAATATTATGTTTGAGAGATTTTTTTTAAGGTGAAATGAAATTTAGTGGGATGGTTAAAAGACATAAGCCACCATTTGTGAGTTTTTTTTTTTTTTAAGAATGATGAAATGGTAAGGAAGAGCCTCTACAATACTCCTTTGCCATTAATAGTTCAATATTTTTTGTACTCCCAAATGGAGGATTAAGGATGAAGTAGTATAGTATAATTATTTCATTTACAAAATTATCTTCAACCTCATATCTTAATAAAAAAATTTCATTTATTATTTTCATTTTCCAATTATCTCTCTCACTTCTTGTTAGGGTTACACATGAGTAAAATCAAGCCAGGCATTATCCCAACCCAATATGCTAGCCCAATTGATTCAAAAATATTTTTACAAGTATTTTTTGAAAAATATAAAAAAATTCCTTGAAAAAATTATTATTATTATTATTATTATTACTACTATTATTATTATTATTTAAAATATATTCTTCATAAAATTAATATTAGAATCAAAAGTAATTTTTTAAAAGTTCAAATGGACAACAATTGCTAATTATTTTTACACAATAATAAGTTAAAAATAAATTTTAAATCTTAAAAGAGATTTAAAAAATCATAATAATAAAAAATGTTTAAAAGATCATAAAAATAACATAAATTATGATAACTTTCAAACAAAGTTTGACCCCTGTCGATGCTTGGCCTTATGTGGCCAAATACTTCGAGTAAGACCAAGTTGACTAGGCATTCAAGGATAGTGCATAGCACTACCTCCCGCCATATCTCTCTTGCCCTTGCCATCTCTCTCTGTCATGCTTTTCAACACTACAATTATATTATGTTTTCCTCTTGTGCAACAAAAATGTTTGCTTAAATAGCGCGTTTACTTGCTTGCTCTTTTTATTCTTAATTCTTAAGTATCTTGTTTAACCATTAATTTTAATTATTATTTTTTTGTTGCATAAATATTATAATTACTTAATAGGCATTATTATTATTATTTTTAAATTTAGTCATATGAATAATATTGAAAGAAAAAAGTTTTAAACCATTTCGTTCCATTCATTCCCAAATAATGTTCATGTAAAACCATTCCTTCCCATCATAAAACTTCCAAACAATAAAAAATTTTGTTCTTTTTCACTCTATTTCGTTTCATTCCATTAATGGTTGTTTCTTTGTATTCAATTATAAACTCCCAAACACACTCTAAAAGTTTTGTTTTACTTAAAATACAAGATATTGGATAGGTGTTATGGTCATATTTGCTTATTAGAATAAAATAAAATGGAATAGATTAAAAAAAAATAAGATAAAAATAAACTAAACTACCCTTTCTCTCGTGGTAAGTATGATAAAACTCATTAATATTTATTATAAATATAATAATCATCACACCCTCAACAAATTTTATGAATCATAATCTTCAACTTCATGAACTAAATTTATCTATGAATGTGCTCATCTATTTCCTTTGATCGTTTTATTTTTTCAATTCATCACATTCCATTTTATTCTAATAAACAAACATTACCATAATTTTTTTTCATTATGCCCTTACTTTATTGAGTAATTAATAAAAGTATTTTGAATAAGTTAAATATTAAATTTATTACATTTAAGGGTATGATTGAAAAAATGTGAAAATTTTTAAAAAATCAATATTTTAATAACCAACTTTTTTAAGAAACGTATATTAGTTAATAATGATTTATATCGTGGTCCTGAGTACATTTAAAATTCATGTATTTAAAATTTTTTCTTTGGATAGTGTAAGAAATTTTAAAAGTAGAAGAGAGAGACGAGCTAAAATTCAAAATAAAAATGAAGGATTGGAAGTCATAAACTTACTTGTATTTTTTAATCAATGATAGATAATAGAAGAGGTGAGAGTAACAAATATAGTAATAGTGAAAATATGAAAAAAAATACAAAATCATAGTAACTAAAATTTCATATAATTAAAATCTGGAGGGAATATAAAATTACAAAAAAATATGTATCCAAATGAAAATGTTAGTTCAAATTCAAATCTACATAAATTTAAGGGAGGATGATAGATAAGTCTCAAGGGATTAATAAATTTAAATTAGGTCCCAACTAATTTTAAAGTGCCAAACTCTAAAAAGTTGCAAGTTTGGCTCTCAATTTTGTAATTTTATTGTGATAAATTTGCAACTTGTGTTTCAAACTTTGATAAAAAATAAATTTATTTATTTTTTCATCGTGTTAAATGTTGAAAAAAAAATTATAAATTTATCACAATAAAATCATAAAATTAAGAGCCAAACTTGTAGGTTCCTAGAATTTTGAAATTGGTTGGGATTAAATTTGAACTAATTAGTTCCCTTGAAACTTATTTGCCCTAAGCGTAGTCTTAATGATCAAACTTGCAAATGCTTGAAAAGTTTTGCTTGCAATTGAAGATAAGGCCTATTTGGATGCTCATTAGGAATCAATTATGGGGCCAAGATTATGATTTTATAAAAATTTATTCAAACACTCTTATTTTGCAAAATTTCATTTTTAAGAAGTTAAAATTTCCTCCATTTGCAAAGCTCTATTTGGATCCTTCTCTGTATATTATTTATTTGCACATTCAAAATTAATTCTCAAAAAATCATCCAAACATATTCAATTTGTCAAAATTAATTTCTAAAAAATTATCCAAATATCATCATGTTTTAATAATCATTTCTTTGTATAATCAGTTTTTTTAATTGAAATCCAAATACACCCTTAACGCACTCATGGCTGAAATTTACACACTTGATTTTTTTTCAAATGCCCATGGAAGCAACTTGCACATGGTTGAAGAGTTCTACGTTCAATTAAAAACTTGTTGCACCTGTGTTATTATAAACCTGCGCACATGATTTTCTTTCTTTAATAACCAAAGGCACTCAGCCTAATTGATGAGGATTGACACAACAACCATTATTAAGCAAGCTAACAGTAACCCTAGGGGACTCACAAAATGATAAAAGCCAGGCTCGCATTGAAGTGAATCTTCATCGAGCTAGTCCGCCACTTTATTTGCTGCTCAAGGAATGCAGTAAAGTTGAACTTTCCTATCCTTATGAAGATTTGAACGTGTTTCATCAAGAAAAGACTTCTATTGGTGCAGTTGAATATGGAAATCTAGTTTAGGATACAAAAATGGCCTACTTATGAGAAAATCAAAATTTTTTGCTAAAAGCTAATTGGGACAAGATCCAATCTAATTTCACCAGCATTATTGGAAACAATCCTTGTCAACGAATTTTCTCTGTTAATTGTAAAGTTTCTAACTCTATTTTACATTATTGCAAAAAAGTTTGAGAAGTGTGGTTGAAAATTGTTAACCCTTCTAAGGTTAATACCTTCTGTTTTCTTTTTGCGTAGGACTGGATAATTTAGAATGCAAAAAATGATGCTAGAAGCTCAAGCATAAGAATAATGCCTTGGCAAAAACTCCTTGCCCAAGTTTCCTAGAACATTTGGAAAAGCAAATATGGTTCATTATTCTTTGAAGAAGATTATCGAGAAATGGATATTTCCTATTACTTACCTAACAAATTCTAAATGACCTTAAGCTTCAATCTATAATCAACCTCCTGAGCAAAGGAAGTCAAAGATCTAACACAAAATGGAACCACCTAAAGCGGCCTGAATTAGACTTAACATTGATGATTCAACTAGTATCAATAAGGCTACTAGTTGTGAAGGCATTGTACGTGGCAACCAAGGAAATTGAATTATAAGTTTCTCCAAATATTTCAAATACCATCCTATCACATTTATGGAACTTTTGGATATCTTGGAAGAAATTAAACTTTGCTGGAATGCCAAACTCATCAAAATTCACAATTACTATGATTCCTTAGAAGTTTTGTTGTTCATCCAACATAATTTTTGCCAAGTTTATGTTGAGAGTGTCTTAATCAATTGGATAAATAAAGTTAATGAGCATACTTGCATATTCCATTGCTATAAAGGAAATAGACAATCTCTATTACCTCAAGAGCATGAAGGTTTTTAACTTATTGGACCCTTTTAGTCATCTGAGGATACAAAGAGATATGAGAGAGTGGAGATGATGAGATAATGAATTTATGAGAACTAGGGTTATATTTTGCTCACACACACACACACAATTAATTTGTTTTACTTTCTCAAATCATCTTTATCCAATTAGTTAAAAGATAAAAAAATAACTTATGAATAAAGGATTGTAGGTTAGGCCTATATCCAAATAAGCTTACTTATGTGGTTTGTCTGTAACAATCTATACTGGATCACAAATGGCCAAACCGTTATGGGCTCAATAACTAATTAATGCAAATTTACAATATATTCAAATATTTCAACAATCTACTACTTGGATTGTATTAATCAAATAACAATAAGCCATGATAAAATTCAAAAAATGAAGCTTTACAAATCACGAGATTCTATAAGGAAGCAAGTGACATTTTGACATAAGTATAATGTTTCATAATTCAAATAAAGCATAACACAAAATTTCGTTCAAAGCTCACTTCAACAAAGAGAACTATATATGATCATTGATTTCTATAAGGAAACAAGTGATATGTAGAATACCAATCATAATATCATTGAATACAAGAGATAAACCAATGACACAAAAGGCAACATACAGTTCTAAATTTTTAAAAAATTAATCTTAATATGCCAATATTTAAAAATGTTTTGACATTATTTAAAAGTTTTAAAAAATAGGATTTTTTTGTTATAAAACTATAAATGTTAACATTAAAGGACCAAGGGATTAAAATAAAATATATATAAAATTAAAAGACTAAATATATACTTTAACTAAATTTTAAACCATGATATCACCTGGTAGATATGGATTATGGGATTATAATCGGGTACATTTTTTGCTAGAATCTATTAGGGCCTTTTTTTTTAAACAACAATATATCACATATCCACACAAAGGAAAACTAGGCTATGTTTTTGATTTTGCATTATTGTTTTTTAAGTGAAAGAAATCTTATTCAAAGTAAGCTGATATACTTCCCTTTGGTTTTATTTATAGGACATGAAGAAGAAGTAATTTTATCCTTTTTATAAATTATTTAATTAAATTTTAGCTAAGTTATACAAAACTTTTCTAAACTTTGAACCATATACAAATAATCTTTTTAATTTTTAAAACTTAATAATAAATCTCTTTGAACTTACAAGTTTATGCAAATAATTTGTAGCCATTAATTATATACCCTTTAAATTTTATTTTTGTATGCATTTAAACTTTCAAATTTTGATTGATATACAGTTAATCCCTCTAAATTTTAAATTATGTATAGATAATTAATATATAAAATTAATTACATAAAGTTGCCTATATAAATATATAAGTTGCCCTCCCTTGTAAAGTTTAAAGGTTAAATATGTTATGTGTACATGTTCAAAATTTAGGAAAGAAATGTTAAATAGTTACATTTAATACAATAAAATTAAAAAATTATTAAATTTTTAAATAAAGTTAATTAATTTTAAAGTTTTTCTTTAAAAGTACAAATGGGTTCTGTTGGTTGAAAAAGCTGCGTTTGGCGTTTGCACGTTGTCGGTCAATTACCCTAATTATACACGGGTCACGCCGTCACGGGAGGCGGGAGCTATACCCGCAACCCATCAACCCCTCGCGGCTCTCTCTCTCTCATACATTCTCTCCCCTTCCTCGTAGATACAGAAAAAGGGGAAGACGATAGATCCATATTTCTCTTTCTGTAATTTTCCGTTCGATTCTTTTCCTTCCTTTCCTTACCAACAGAAACCCCCAAGCGCTGCCTCTTTCCTCCCATGGGAACCCCTGAGACTTCTCGCGAACCCTGCCCCGATCGCATCCTCGATGACATTGGTGGCGCGTTCGGCATGGGAGCCGTCGGTGGCTCCGCCTTCCATTTCATTAAAGGTCTCTACAACTCTCCCAAGGGTTCTCGACTCGTCGGCGGCTCGCAAGCCGTTCGCCTCAACGCGCCACGCGTTGGCGGCAGTTTCGCCGTGTGGGGTGGCTTGTTTTCCACTTTTGACTGTACCATGGTTTACGTGCGTCAGAAGGAGGATCCGTGGAACTCCATCATCGCTGGGGCTGCCACTGGCGGCTTCCTCTCCATGCGCCAGGGGCTGGGAGCTTCGGCCCGATCCGCGGCGTTTGGCGGTGTCTTGTTGGCTTTGATCGAAGGAGCAGGGATCATGCTCAACAAATTCCTCAGTGCACAGCAACAGATGCCTATAATAATCGATGAACCCATGCCTGCTGGATACCCCGTTAATGGATTGCCTGGCCAAAGCTTGCCTCAAGGGATGATGCAGCCCTCAACTGTGCCTTCTGATTCGGTTTCGGGTTCGGATTCGGGCAAATCTTGGTTTGGTGGGTGGTTTGGCGGAGAGAAAAAGGATGGGCCTCCTACGAGCGGAGGAAGCGAGACAAAAGTTTTGGAGAGCTTCGACGCCCCGCCAGTGCCGAACTTTGAATACAAGTGAGATGGTTATGCAGGCAGTGAGTATTTAGGAGTGATTGCATTTGTTGCAGGCGTTTGGTTTTGAACCTTGCTCAGGGATAAACTGTAGTCACTTAATTCTACGGCTTTGTAATATAGTGGTAATTTTGTCGGAACTCTTATAGTGTTGGGCTCCATCCTTTAGTCCATAATTGATTATTTTCCCGTTGGAATTTTGGCATGCGTCCAATTCTAGATCATCATTTTATTGCAATTATCTTTTCATTGAAAAATATATGCTGGAGATTTATACGTTTCTTAGTGCTCATGTGTGTAATTGTGGTTTGTTGTTGCTTCTTGTGCCCCTTAGTGTCAATGAAGGACGGGGCAGGGCGTTTTTTTTGGGTACAAAATGTCACGAGTTCATAGCCTGTCATTCCTGTCCCCAACGTATGAAGCTCTATGGAAAAATGATGGTTCGATAGATCCCCCCCTCCCAAAAAAAAAGGAAGATATTGGACTACAGGAAATTGATTATTAGTAAGAGTACATGTTACCTTTTGGCAAATTTCTTGGGGGCTAATGCTTTCTGTCATGCATGATCTTGCATGCCGTGGGCGTATTGTTTTTTAAGTCTTCTGCGTTTAATGTCTTGTATGCCTAAAACAGTGACAATATTTGGGTTTATTATTTGGTTGGTATTGCAAGGCCACAGCCTATTTGCCAGAGAAATTGTTTCAAATGCTTTGATATTGTCATCAGCATTTCTAGCTAAGTATTGGTCACTGCTCAGTATCAGATTTTTTTAATGATTTTAGTCTGTTCAGTAGGTCAGTGGAACTATATGGGTAAATTGCTTACACTTCATTTCCTAATAAAGTAATAATATATGCTGATTGACTTGGGACTTTGTATATCTCCAGGAGGAGCAAAAAAGAACTGTGGCCTTTGCCTTGTATGTCTAGTTGTCTTCTAGATTTCTGGTTTCACTTGTGGCGTACTCTTTCCTCAATTCTACCTTGTGAATTAAAGTGATCATAAATCATTATTATATTGTGTTTTTAATGTGTGCTGAAGTGAGCATATTCGATGTAATTTCTATCTATCTACAATAGAACAAATCTGTATTAATACTTTCATCCTGTATTTTGCTGCTTCAATTTTCACTTTTCTTAGTTCCTCTGTTCTCTCATTCACTTCACCGTACGACCGACCACTTCTATCTATTCTCTTTAAATTAGATGTTGGGATTTAATTCTTTAGATGCACGATCAATGGTGACAGGCGTGTTGATTAGAATCATCTTGTTTTATCGTTCGCGTATGGGGGAATGCCTGAAGGAAAGAAGTAAAAGACGTTCTTACATGGAAACTAGCTGGTATACATGAGACTTGATTTCTGAATTTATTTATTGTTAGTTTACGTGTCATGTCATCCCATTTTATATGTCCATTTGACTTATTTGAATTCTTTCCTTTGTTCGTGTTGTTGTGGTTTCCTCAGCCAACAAATGACCTTTTATGTAGTGTTTGATTCAATAGAGGGAAGGAAGGCCTAGTAGGGGGTGTTTTAACCAAAAAGTCCCCTACCCTTCAACCAAACAGAGCCTTGATGATTTATGGTTCCCAGGTGGCGGGTCCCATACTTGTTCTTTTCCTTCAAAGAATTGACCAATATTGTAAGTTTGTAACAATACACACCTATAGGCAAGAGTCTCAGGTTCAGTTATTTTGCTTTTCTTTCTCATTGTACAACGTGCTTCAAATGGTTAATTTAACAAAGCATTAACTCTCTATTGCAACTTAATCTTGGGACTTACAGAGGAGTGGAGAATTTGAAATTAACTATATTCGTTTAGCTTAACCCTGTTGTTGTTGTTGTAGGTTCATGATTTAATCCAAAATATTCTCGTTCTATTTGTTCTTGTCTTTTTATAGGTGCAGCTTTGAAGTATGTATCCCTCTAGGTGTGGGAATGTTTGTTTCTTATTTGAAGAAATAATAACCCTTGAGGATTCATAATGTATAATATTGACAGTAATGTGTCATGTTTCTTAGTATTTTGAGGTATCGATCTTTGAATATAATTCTTATTTTTAATTTTTGTGTCTACTGGATCTTATGCAACGAGAAAAATGTAGGAAACCAAAGAGGTACCTAAGAATTTAATCTTTTTGTTTATATTTTATTGACTGTTTCTCATTTGGTTGACGTTTTTCCCCCAGTAATAGGACTCTCTCTCTCTCTAAAATATCTTCCAGAAAAACGCATCCATTTGTGCATTATTGCTTATGGTTGTTTTTTTCCTGAATCGTTGTGGTTTTCATTACTTGTTCCGATAAGGGTAATCAGATATTTTGAGTTATATTTGCTAGTGTCAATAAGATAAAAAACTGAGCCATACATTGCAAAAATATTGGTTACTACTTTTTAGTAGTCATTCTAAGCATAAGGTGTCTATGAAATTTAACTTTTCTTTATATATTTTTATCTAATTAATTTTAAATATTACATGTGAAATACATTCATACCAAACATGAGTGTTTCGTCCAAGTGTCCTTTTAAGTTTCTTATAAAGGAGATTCATCACTCAAATGTAGAAATCGATTTGAATGATTATGTACATATTTTGTTATGCTTACTATCTCTTTCATCAAATTTATATTTTACGTCTTTGATTACGTGTTAGAAAACAAAGCTCTTTTAGCAGCATTTGTAGTTTTTTTTTTTTGGCCGATAGCAGCATTGATAATGATGATAGTTAAATCAAGTCTCGCATTATTTGGAATTCAAAGAGAAATAAAGAGTGGTGACTGTTGGATGTTATGTTAGTTGCCCCATTTATCCCTTTTATCAATTCAAAGAAAAATAAAGACTTTTCCCCTTTTCTCATTTTATTGGTATAAACTAGAACATGCGCCTCATATATTTTGCATGAAATTTGAGCACAGCTACTGGTTGTAATTTTGCAGAGTTAACTGAAAAATTATAAAAAATAATATCAAAAATTACAGAAAACTTTTTTTTAATCAATAATAGGGGTGATATTGTGCCGTATTTAAATGTTGAAATGGAATATTTACTAAAAATAAATGTAGGATCCAAAGTATTTTGAACTGGATAAAATTGCCCCGCATCATCATGATTTGTAAGTAGGTTGGCTTTCTCTGTTTATCTTTGCCCTTTGAGTTTTTATATTTTTGGAAGAAAAAAAAACAGATATCTTCAGAAGGGGTCATTTTCAATGCTTCCTAAGTCTGTCAGTAATGTGAAGATGTTGAATAACATGTCGCTTGAAGAAGCTTGTAGAGAACAAGATGGCTTAGCAGCCACACAAGCTTTTCATTTTATATGGTTCTCAGCCTATGATTCTCTGTGTGAGAATGACAGCATTGGATGTAAACTCTACTCCACCGTGTAAAACAAAGAATAGAAACTCAAAGGCGCCCTATTGCCAATTCAGGTTAGGAAAAAAAAACACTACTGTAGTCATTTTCAACTTTCATAACGTCAAAATAAAATAATTTCATCCAAATAAGCAAAGGATAAAAGAGGATCATAAAATAGGATAATTATTTTTATAATATGATATTAAATTTTTTATGAAATGACCATGATGCCCTAAAGATAAATGACAATTTACAATAGCAAATGACTACTTTTATTAATTTCATTAAAGTAATTAAATTGGTTGAAGGTAATCATTTTCTACAATATTTTAGTCATTTATTTAATAAAAGTAGTCATTTGTTATTGTGAAATTGTCATTTACTTTGGACAGCATCATGCTAATTTTGTGAAAAAAAATTAATGGTAGATGAGTTTTTAGAGTTTTCAAAATAATAATAATTTTTATTTTGTTTGAACAAGCAAATGGGAGACTGGGGATCAGCAATGCTCTCTTATTATTATTATTATTATTATTTTTAAAATTTTACGCTTGAATTTTAATTTAAATTAATTGTTCCTCCGAGTCATTCTTCGTAATTTTATTTTATCGAGTACCCGTTTGCTTTTTCCAGTTCTGAGTTCCACGTAGGACCTAAAAAAACTGTCAAGCTAGCCAAGCTGGCGAACCCATTTCCGTCTGCATCATAGACCAAAGCACGTGCACGTTCTTCTCCTCCAGCTCTCTCTCTCTCTCTCTCTCTCTCTCTCTCTCTCTCTCTATCCTTCCTTCGTACTAGGCGCAAAGTCCTCTCCCCTTTCTCTTCATTCATCCCAATTGCCCCCTACACAAGTTGCCTTATTGTCTGTCTTCTTGTCTCCATCTCACTTTGTCTGGATTTTTCTTAAATCTTCGAAGAGGTTCAGAGCGATGATGGATGCGTCTTCGTGTACATGCACTGGTTGTGAGGTCTTGTGATGTAGACAGTTTGATCCCAAATGCACCCCCTCAATCGGCTGCCTAGTAGTGGCCACTCCACGCCGTCGTCGCCGCAGTCGCCTCTCCGGTCCCCCAGGCTACGTCGCGGTCGGTCCAAGACAGGCCGGTTCTCTCCCGTTCAGCCGGCTGGCAGGACCGCGGCGCAGCGACTCTCTTGGATCTTTCTTTCCTTCCTACTTCGCCGCCAGGGTGTCTTCCTTTTCGCTCCTCTTATTTACATCTCTGGCATGCTCCTCTACATGGTTACTGCCTCGTTCGACGTCGTTCCGGTTCGTCAAGCACCGCCCTGCTCCTGGGTCTGTGTACCGGAGCCCAGAGCTGTATGCGAAGCTACGCCTTGAGATGGATGCCGATAATTCCTCTGCTGATGCGGTTGGTATTATAGCAGATTTGCTTGGTTGCATTTCTCTTTTCAAATGGCTTTGAATTCTTACTCAGAAGTGTTTATTTTTGTACTTTAATTTTGAATTTATATCACTGTGTGCAACCCAATTCGGTTTCTTTTTCTTTTTCTTTTGTTTCTGTTGAATTCTGAAGATTCATGACGCTTTCTTGTGATTCTGTGGATCTACTGATTCGGATATCATTACATGTATTCCGTTGTCCTAGCTTGTTCGGAAAGTTGACGAATGAGAACGGGAAGGCTCGGAAAATACTCTAGTTTTGCATTTTTTTTATTTGAAATATTTATATTTAAATTAAGCTTTAATCTTGCGATGCACGGGACTTGTTGCATAATTTCTTTTTTAACTGTTGCTGACTTATTTAATGGAGAGCAACTTTTTACCTCTGATAAATTTCCTAGACAGCCTCGTCCAGTCTGAATCCATTTGCTAAACGTCTAACGGAGCAAAACAATCAGTTGATTTGACCATACAGCTTGAGCTGGATATTAACGCATTTCTAATTTAGGAAATTGTTTTCATCTCG